TGGTCTGATGTGCTGTAAATTTTGGGGGTAATTCCTGTTATCCTTTTTGACTGGGTTGGACAAAGTTCAAAACTGGCTTATAGTATGGTGATGATGGATGGATGGGCAGGGAAAAGTGGGTACCTTATTTTATCTTATCTACTAAATTCGCCTACAGATCTCTGAAATTTCACAGGAAGATGGACATATGTAGAAGTTTTGCACCTGCTATTATTGAATTGTTTGAGGAGTTTTCTTTTTTCTCCAGACTTGGGAACTTAGTCTTATTTCTGCCAAATTTATGAAAGAGGGTACAAGTTTCCTACAGTTTTCAACCTACTGGGTAGATCCCTGAAACTTCACATGAAGATTGCACATATGTTGAAGTTGTGTTCCTGCTATAATGGAGTTGTTTGAGGAATTTTTTTCTCATTTTTCCAGACTTGGGAACTTAGTAATTTTTCAGCAAAATTTATGAAAGAGTGTGTAATCTGTCAGTTACTAGTTTCCACTATTGTTTGACTATTGTTTTATTTTGTAACTTCACCTTTAATATGTATTTTTCTAATATGTGCATACTAAATATTGAAAATAGCTGTATATCAAAGTTACGACACTCTTTCTTCTGTTCTTCATTTTGTTAGATATTTAAGAAAAAATATTCTTCTCCTTCATTTTATTACAACTACATTGTAAAGATTCTACATTGATTAGTCACAAATATTGCAACCTGACCATTTGAGACTTTATCCCATCTTTTAGCCATGTTTAAAAAGTTAATTCAAAAACTATTTTGACACAAAGATTTTAAAAATAATGAGTTATTGCACTGATATTGTTTTTTCCTGCATTTTGACCCAAAATGACAAAAATGCCCATTTGCATATATTACATGCATATCAGGATGATAACATGTTTATGTGAATTTCAACTCTGCTTGGTACTAAACCAACATCCTAAACTGGATCACAGACTACTTTCTTCCCTGAAATTCATTGCCAAGGTTCTCACTAATATCACCTCATGAAACCTACACTCCTTAAAATCAAGCTCGTCTGATCACTATTATGTAAAACTGAAGAGTTCAAAGATGCAACTATTTAGTATCAAGGGAGTCTCATCAAGGTTATGAGTTCTAACTAAGGATTATTAAAAACGCTCCATGGAAATTATCATGTATTAGATATGATCAATTAAGGAGGTCACTCCTGACTTCAGTTATAATGCTGACGGTTCCCACCATACCTTGAAAACCTGGAATTTATTAGTTATATCTTTGAAATTCACAAAAATGTGAAAGTCATGGAAAAATCAAGAATAATGTGTACTTGTCAGGTAATATGTCTTCCTGTAGACTCTTTCCTTTGTGAACTATAAATGTAGCATGTTAAAAACCAGTTCAGCTTTCTAGTTTAGTACAAAGGTGTGTTGATATTCGTATCACATGTTATTCATCCTGATATGCATGTTATATGTGGCATTGGGCATTAAAACACAAATCCCTCCATCCACCCTGATGGTGTATCAAATTATAATTTTAGAGTCCAATTCAAGTCTAAGTAACTGACACTCTGGAAACTGTCATTATTGCATGGCATTATTATGAACTTTCATGTTTTATGCCAAATTCCTATATGCTTCTACTTACTTGGATTGTCATTTTAGTTTAATAGAAGAAAATTAATGTTTATGATGAAATTATTTTTTTTAGGATAATAATTTCTAATGCTTACCAGAAAATTTTGTTGTCTGAAATAAGTGGTCACACTACTTAAAAAATTATTCATATTTAAATTTTTTAGAGGTGCTATAATCATTGAATCTTGCTTATAAACCTGTATTTGTAACTTTCATGTACTTATTTCACCAAATCAGGTAATTTAAGATTTTTTTTCTCACTGATTATCAGTGTTTAAATAATAAAAGTGTGAGACCACAGTGTTGACAAACTACCTTGAAACAGACAAAAGGGAGATGGTTGTTAATATTCAAATATTTTGTAACTGCCAGGTGAACCTTAATATTATGTTTATTTACTTTTAAAGGTTTTTCCATCCACCTCCATGCATAATAACTCAGTTTCTATGGTGACAACCACAAAAAGTGACTCACTTGTTAGTAACTTCCTCTCATATTTCATTTACAATTGTGTTCATATGTAATGAAATTTAAGGAAAACACAATTTTTTAAATAATTGTTAGGTGTGTGACATTTTATTGGTAATAAAGAACAAATAAGTTGATGTACAGTACTTTACTTTATAGTTTGTTTTTTTATTAAATATTATCAGTTGTAGAAGCATATTAAAGATATACTTGGACTGTACTTGAATAATCATATGTTCAACATTTGCTTATGTACTAACAAAAGTAAAACACTTGAAAAAATATTTTTATTTTGAAAGGAATTAAGAGGGTATTTACTAGCTTTATCCAAGGCGCCATCAAATTGATTCAATTAGTCAGGCTTCAGTGACGGAACTTGATTTGGTGTCCTGGGGCTGTGACACTGCGGGTCAGGTTAGAGCTTTGTAATTGAGGTCATACACCTACTTACCTGAACACATATTTGATTCAAACTTATTGTTCCATGACAAGAAGCCTTTGTTACTTCATACAGGTAGACAATTTTGTTTTGATGTAATGGTAACTTAACAAGGGTACAGTTAGAAAAAAGATCAGTGGTATTTCATTTGGATGATGGTCGTATAACATTTGGAGGAGGATTAAAGTTGATAGATTAATTAGTAATTCATTTTTCCTTAGGTTGTAATTAATTGGTTTATAAAATGGTTTCAGTACACTTACAAGTATATCAAGACTTTTCTATCTGTTTTGCAAATAGAAAGACTTTTTTATCATCTGCAAATCTAGTTCCATAATGGAAATTGTATTATGTTATAAATTTTACTTATATGATATAAATTTACTTTAAGCATATACATGTACTAAGTGAATGTTGAGTAGATATATGTTTTCGGATAGGCTTTGTATAGCTGTTGTGTTAGGTCCATATCTCAGATGATATAAGCAGTAGGTCATTTATATTTGGTGTAAGGAATGATTGCAAGTTGTACATGTCTATCTAGCAGGGTTCATCTGCCCATGAACTAATTTTCATGGTTCATTGGTTAACTTTAAGTTTCTGTTATACTTGTAGTAATGCCATGCAACAAAGAAATCCAATCATCAGTAAAGCTGGCAAGCCATTTCAGCCTGCACACTCCTGTTTTTGGTTGTTGTCTCATTGATATTTCCTCATTTTGTTTTTGTTTATTTCATATTAAATTGTCAATATCATACCTATGGTCTTGCAGGTTTCAGATGTCTACATATTTACATGGATCTCCCCAAAAAGTTGCTTGGTTTTAGTGGGTGGAACTTTTTTTTGTTTTTTATGCCCCCGCAACTGAAAGTTGGGGGTCTTGTTGTTTTACCCCTGTCCGTCCGTCCCATTATGTGTATATAGCTATTCCACATAACTCCTCCTACAGTTTGAATGTTAGGAAGTTTTCACATTGCTGGCTGTTTGTACATATATTGAAGGTGTGCATGTGGTCAGGGTTTTGATTTTTATTGATATTTGCTCTTTTGGGAGACAGTTGAACTTTGTAATTTTTGGAGTATATACTTGCATAAGAGATGCAAAGCGTTTCCAGATAACTCCTACAGTTTGAATGCTCGGAAGTTTTCACTTTGCTGGCTGTTTGTACATTTATTGAAGGTGTGCATGTGGTCAGGGTTTTGATTTTTATTAATATTTGCTCTTTTGGGAGATATTTGAACTTTGTCATTTTCTGGAGTATTTACTTGCATAAGAGGTGCATAGTGTTTCCGGATCTCCTCCGTACAGTTTGAATGCTAGGAAGTTTTCACTTTGCTGGCTGTTTGTACATATATTGAAGGTGAACATGATGTCAGGGTTTTGATTTTTATTAATATTTGCTCTTTTTGGAGATAGTTGAACTTTGTCATTTCCTGGAGTATATACTTGCATAAGAGGTGCATAGTTTTTCTGGATAACTCCTCCTACAGTTTGAATGCTAGGAAGTTTTCACGTTGCTGGCTGTTTGTACATATATTGAAGGTGTACATATGGTCAGGGTTTTAATTTTTATTATTGTTTGCTCTTTTGGGAGATAGTTGAACTTTGTCATTTTCTGGAGTATATACTTGCATAAGAGGTTCGAAGGGTTTCCAGATAACTCCTCCTACAGTGAACCATGGACCTCTGTGCTCTCATATACAACTTTGTGTATTATAAGATAACACTGTATCTGCGGGGGCATCATTTGTGTCTCCCAGACACAATAATATCTCAAAGAAAGTCCCACATTAACTTTGTTATAATACAGTTACTTCAGAGTGGAGTGCGGGGGCATCACTTTGTCTAGTTAGCTTTTTGTTTGTGAACATTTCAAAGAAAAATGTTGATTGTACAAAAAAATAAAGATGAATTCAATACTATTGGTAATGCTCTATCTTGAAAATTTTCTCCTTATAATTTTGCAGGTGTTCATATCAAATGTTGCAGTAACAAATAAACATTATCATATGGTGTTGAATTTATAGATTCTATAGAAATGAAACTTAATATAAAACACAAACTGTAATTGAGAAGAATATTTATTGTTATTTTACTGTTGGATTACATAATACAAACTAGACAATAGTAATGTATATCACTCTACAGTATAAAAACTTGTATTTCATATCTTCAAAATGTGTCAAAAAACTGATTTAAGAAAAAGGGAACAGAAATTTACTATTAGTCAATTTGAAATGGATGCAGATACTAGAATGTTTAGGGTACATTTGTACTAATTAAGCCAGTGTGCTTGAGGTTTCCAAAAATAGAAAAATTAATGTTTAGAGTAATTATTTAAGTACAAGTTTATTATATTAATATATTTATATACATGTATATTGGTTCATGTGTTTTCATCAAGCACGACATTATCTTTCATTTCCTGTGTTTGTAGGATGTGGGTTATTTTTTCTATTATATTTGTATTTTCCAGGATCTTGATCTCATTGAGGTACTATGGAGACAGGATATAGATCTCGGGATAGGAAAGGAGGTGTTCGACATCAACCTAAGGAAAGAGCTAGAGAGAGAACGAGAGATAGAGATACAAAAAGAACAAATCAAAGTAAGTGTCATTCAGAATGGCTGTAGAATGTGATATGTTTCACCATTTTCGAAGATTTTCATGTTCAGCTAGATTGAAAAACTTAAACCTGATAGGAATGGTAATTATTAAGCTATCAATATTACTGATGTTAGTCTTAATTTGACCATATTAACAGCATATATAAATGCCTTTATGCTAAACAGGGAGACATTCTGTTGACCTAATGGAAAGTAATCATATTTTCTTTGATCCAAAGATGCATACTATAAGTGTGGATGATATTTAAAACAAAAAGTTACTATTCATTCATCAACTCCTTTTTCTTTCACAGAAAAAAGAGGAAGAATTGGTGAGAATAAAACTTGAAGAACAGCGCCGGCAGCAGGAACAGCAATGGAGATCAGAGAATTTTACTAGAGATGGAGAAACTGGTATGTAATATTGGCAATATGGTCCCTATTTTAAGGTAAAATTTCAAATTAGGATTGAATGGCCATTTAATAACAACTACATAGGAAATAGGACTTTCCTTTCAAAATGTACATATATAAGCCTTCCTTATATGACATCAAAACTGGTTGAAATTGGGAAGATTTTTCCAACTTTAACCAAAATCTAATTTTCTACGAATGTTAGAGGTCAATTTAAATAAGAAAAGATTTTCAGAAACTGTTTTATTTCACTTTCTCATATATGTGTATGCATCACTTTAAAACATATTTCATCTTGAAATAATTGACATACAATTTAGAGCCGAATTGGGACCTTAGATCAGTAAAAGCTTTTTTATGCCATGTTTTTAAGTCACAACATGTAATTTATTGTTTTTTGAATTAATAATTTAATTGATATTGATAAATTTATTCTGCAATTAGTATTATACTTTTATGATTTATTTCTAAGCTTACCAAACCTTACACTGTGTATGATATTACATATTATATGAATGATCCTTTGGTCTCCTCTTACAGAAGACCTTATAATTATATACCTTGATGCTGAAATGCCAAAGGTAGACAACTATAATTAATGTGTATGTTAAACTATACATGAGCTTGTTGATCATAGTTAAAAATTCTGAAATATAGTTGTATGAGCTGTGGGAGAAAACTTATACATTATATGTGATCTTAATTAAAATTTATTGCTAAACAATTCAGATTGATAAGATCTTGTCAAGTAAGTTAAGTAAACAGAATATTTAATATGAAACATTTATGTTGTGAAAATTGATTAGATTGAGCAAAGGAAATTATCTGGAGCACAGCATACTTGGATTTATGTTTAGTAATTGCAAAGGGAAAATCAATTTATGTTCTTGAAATCAATTGACCCAGAATATAATAATAGGTCCTTGTCAGGAATGTTGCTTCATTATGTGTACTCATACATGTATACCCTTTTGAACTCCTAGTCCAACATGATACAAACTGCATTCATAATGCATATCAAGTTATTTTTCACGTCCGGTTTTGCTCATGGTCCTGGCATTAAAAGGGCAGATAACTCTTTGCTGTGTTCATTGTTTGCATTACATGGCCTTGTACAATGCATTTGAATTAATAGTGAAATGTTACATGGGAATTATATTTTACTGTAAAATTCTAACTGTGAACATAACAAAGTATTTCTTGATATACAGTAGATGACCATTTATGAGCAAGAACTTTATATTTACTATGTAAACATTCTAATGCTGGACATTTCTTGAAAAAATTATTTTTTTTTTTTTAATTTCTTAGCATGTCCTACAAAAAAATTTATTTTACAATATTTACCTTTAATCTGTTCATTATTTTCTGTTAACCTGCATCAGTGTTTAAGGTAGAGTTTAAATGATTCGCGTGTTAGTGATTAACCCCAAGAGTTGATTTACAGTACATGTACAAAGATATCTTATTATGCCCCCGCCGTAGTGGAGAGGGCATTAAGTTTTACCCTTGTCAGTCTGTACGTCCGTACGTACGTCCCATAGTTGGTTTCCGTTCTCTAACTTTAGTTTGCCTCAACCAAATGTTATGAAACTTACACTCAATGCTTATTACCACAAAACACAAATCAAGTTTGAATTTTGGTGGCATCACTTTAACCATTCTAGTTATGTTTTGTTATCCAAAAGACAAAACTATTTTCTTGTACAATTTTTATACGACCGCAAAAACTAAAAATTTTTTGGTCGTATATTGGTATGACGTTGGCGTCGTCGTCCGGCGTCGTCGTCCGAAGACACATTGGTTTTCGCACTCTAACTTTAGTTTAAGTGAATGGATCTCCATGAAATGTTACCATAAGGTTCAATACCACAAAAGGAAGGTTGGGATTGATTTTGGGGGTTATGGTACCAACAGTTAAGGAATTAGGGGCCAAAAAGGGGCCAAAAATAAGCATTTTTGTAACTTCCAGACAGAACTTGTGTGTTAGTGTATGGATCTCTCTGACATTGTACCACAAGGTTCTATATCACAAAGGGAATGCTGGGATTGATTTTGGGGGTAATTGCCGCAAAATTTTAGGAATTAGGGGCCAAAAAAGGGGCAAAAAACAAGCATTTTTCTAGTTTCATGATAATAACTTGTGTGTAAGTATATGGATTTTTCTGAAATTGAACTACATGGTTCCATATCACAAAGGGAAAGCTGGAATTGAGTTTGGGGGTAATTGCCCTAAACGTTTAGGAAAAAGGGGCCAAAAATAGCATTTTTCTAGTTTCCAGACAATAACTTCTGTTCAAGTGTATGGATCGCTCTGAAATTGTACTGCAAGGTACCATACCACAAAGGGAATGCTGGGATTGATTTTGGGGGTAATTGCCTCAAAATTTTAGAAATTAGGGGCAAAAAAGGGGCAAAAAACAAGCATTTTTCTAGTTTCAGGACAATAACTTGTGTGTAAGTGTATGGATCTTCATGAAATTGTACTACAAGGTTCCATATCACAAAAGGAAAGCTGGGTTTGAGTTTGGGGTAATTGCCCTTAATGTTTAGGAATTTGGGGCCAAAAAGGGGCCTAAAAACAAGCATTTTTCTAGTTTCCAGACAATAACTTGTGTTCAAGTGTATGGATCTCTCTGAAATTGTACTGCAAGGTACCATACCACAAAGGGAATGCTGGGATTGATTTTGGGGATACTGGCCTCAAAATGTTAGGAATTAGGGGCCAAAAAGGGGCAAAAAACAAGCATTTTTCTAGTTTCAGGACAATAACTTGTGTGTAAGTATATGGATCTTTATGAAATTGTACTACAAGGTTCCATATCACAAAAAGAAAGCTGGGTTTGAGTTTGGGGGTAATTGCCCTAAACATTTAGGAATTTGGGGCCAAAAAGGGGCCTTAAAACAAGCATTTTTCTAGTTTCCAGACAATAACTTGTGTTCAAGTGTATGGATCTCTCTGAAATTGTACTGCAAGGTACCATACCACATAGGGAAGGCTGGGATTGAGTTTGGGGGTGATGAATCATAAGGGGGTTCAAAAAATTTAGTGGAGGGATTTTTTTTTTCTTTAAAATTTTCCATTTTAAATTGGTTATTTCTGATTTATATATAAAAGCAAATAATAATGATATGGTTTGAATAGGTAAATTAAAAAAATTTAAGTTCTTAGACCACATTCATTCTGTGTCAGAAACCTATGCTGTGTCAAATATTTAATCACAATCCAAATTCAGTGCTGTATCAAGCTTGAATGTTGTGTCCATACTTGCCCCAACTGTTCAGGGTTCGACCTCTGCGGTCGTATCAAGCGGAGCATTTTATTAGTTATTGCTTTATTTTTTGTTTGGAACAAAATAAGGCTTAGAGTCGTGCAATGTTTTTTTTCTGATTTAAGGTGAATGGGTGCCTGTAGGTGGAAGAAATAGAATTCCTCCACCCCCTCAGACTTCTCAACAACTGCAGCAAGTCCCACAGCAGCAAAATGTACAGAATAGTCAATACCAGGTAAATGTTCTTTTAACGAAGATGTAAACTCAATGTAGATATATGGTGTGTAAGTAATGAATTTTACTTTAGAGGAAGTGTAGAATAAGAAAAGATACAATGATCTTGCTAAATAAGCTTATTATATATATAAATTATGTTGTGTTGTAACCCCATATAAGATTACTTATCCATTCTCTTATATAGCTGGATCATTCCTCGATTTTTTAAGGTTTTTTCATGAAAGTCTGTGTGATACTGATTTCTCTATCACTCCTAATATGCAAAAATTTGAGCAGAATTATCCAAGAATAAGTCAGTGGTTCTCTCCAGGCACTCTGGTTACCTCCATCAATAAAAACTCAGCAAGAAATTGTGCAATAGTGCTGTATGTGGCGTTAAACACCAATCAAGCATTCAATCCAAGAAAAAAGAAGATAATAAGAATTGACATGTCTCCTCTAGCATGTGACAGTAATTGATCAACATCCACAAGTTTCTCTCCTCCTTGAAAATTCAAATTATAAGATTAAAATGTCAAAATTGTATGAATAGTTTATTCTTTATGTAGAGATGAAATGTCAGTTTTACTTGAAAATGTTTTTTTTTTTTTTTTTTACCTTTTTATTATGGTAAGAAATGTGAAGACATTGTATGTAACTGTTCATTTTTTGTTAATTACATTCTATAATAAGGAACATTTGTAACTTTATACAGAAAAAATATCATTACATCTGACTGGCATTCAATCAAATATATAGTTACATATTTATAATAATACATAATTGGCAACAATAAGGTGTTTTATTTGTTCTGTATGTTCCAAGTCAGTACACACTGCATCATTATAATTGTCAACAGACCTTTAATTATACCATAAATCATCCACACAACAAAACATTATGATGACATTAAGATAGCTTTATATTTGTTTTTTTTTAGGGTTAGTTAATTATTAATGTGAAACAAAAAGTAGATCAAAATGTAATATTATTGTTAGTTTCTCAAATTCAGGATACTTCCCTCAGATTTGATCATAAAATGGGTCCTGAAAGGTGTATAATGTTACTTGTCAGCAATCTTTTAATCTTTATAAAAAGTTCAATTGAAGTGAACTATTTTTATACGACCGCAAAAAAATTTTGTGGTCGTATATTGGTATGACGTTGGCGTCGTCGTCGTCGTCGTCGTCGTCGTCCGGCGTCGTCGTCCGAATACATATTGGTTTTCGCACTCTAACTTTAGTTTAAGTGAATGGATCTTTTTGAAATTTGACCATAAGGTTAAATACCACAAAAGGAAGGTTGGGATTGATTTTGAGGGTTATGGTACCAACAGTTAAGGAATTAGGGGCCAAAAAGGGGCCAAAAATGAGCATTTTCTAGTTTCCAGACAATAACTGTGGAACGGTGTATGGATCTCTCTGAAATTATACTACAAGTTGGCATACCACAAAGGGATGGTTAGGATTTGCTTTGGGGGGTTATGGCTCAAACCGTTTAGGAATTAGGGGCAAAAAAGGGGGGAAAACAAGGTTGTCCTGGTTAATGGACAAATACTTTAGTACAAAACATAATTTAAAGCAGTGTAAGGGAGATAAATCAAATACATCATTGAAATTATCTCCCTTACACTGCTTTTAAATTATGTATAAAGTAATGGTTAATGAACAATAAAGATAATCTAAAACAGTGTAAGGGAGGTAATCCAAATACAACGTTTTGGTTACTTCCCTTACACTGCTTTTAAATTATGTTTAAAGAAATGCATATTTATAAAGGAAGACCAGTAAAAATATCTGCAAATGTTTTCATCTTTTTTTTTTACAAAAAAATCCATATGAAAGATTTGACACTATATTTTTATTAATTCTATTATAAAATAGATTAAGTTAGCACTATGGTAAATTTAAATGGGTAATTATGGTTGCCAACTCCATTGGAAATTTGAATTGAGATTATGACCATATCTTGAGGGAAAGAATTTTTTTGGGGGAAAAAGGAGGGGGGGATAAAAAGAAATTGTGGGGGGCCAATTTTTTCTCATTTCAGATTTCAGAAATTAAAAAGAATTATTCTTCAAATATTATTTTTTTTTCAAATTTCAAATATTGAAAAATTTCAAGAAGTAATCTTTAATTGCACAGTATGGCGCATTAGATTTGTAAAATCTTTGATCACATTTATTTATTTGTTATGCCGAATCTAACAGTGTATTTAGATTTTTAATTTTGGGTCCAGTTTTCAAATTGGTCTACATTAATGTCCAAAGGGTCCAAAATTAAACTTTGTTTGATTTTAGCAAAAATTGAATATATGAGGTTCTTTGATATGCTGAATCTAAACATGTATTTAGATTTTTGATTTTTGGCCCAGTTTTCAAGTTGGTCCAAATTGGGGTCCAAAATTAAACTTTGTTTGATTTCAACAAAAATTGAATATATGGGGTTCTTTGATATGCTGAATCTAACCATGTATTTAGATTTTTTATTTGTGGACCCCGTTATCTAATTGGTTCATATTGAGGTCAAAAGGGTCCAAAATTAAACTTTGTTTGATTTCATCTAAAATTGAATTATTGGGGTTCTTTGATATTCCAAATCTAACCGTGTATTTAGGTTTTTAATTTTGGGTCCTGTTTTTTAAATTGGTCTACATTGAGGTCCAAAGGGTCCAAAATTAAACTTAGTTTGATTTTGACAAAAATTGAATTCTTGGGGTTCTTTGATTTGCTGAATCTAAACATGTGTTTAGTTTTTTGATTATGGGCCCAGTTTTCAAGTTGGTCCAAGATAGGGTCCAGTATTTAAACTTTGTTTGATTTCAACAAAAATTGAATATATGGGGTTCTTTGATATGCTGAATCTAAACATGTATTTAGATTTTTATACGACCGCAAAAAAATTTTTGTGGTCGTATATTGGTATGACGTTGGCGTCGTCGTCGTCGTCCGGCGTCGTCGTCCGAATACGCATTAGTTTTCGCACTCTAACTTTAGTTTAAGTGAATGGATCTCTATGAAATTTTACCATAAGGTTCAATACCACAAAAGGAAGGTGGGGATTGATTTTGGGGGTTATGGTACCAACAGTTAAGGAATTAGGGGCCAAAAAGGGGCCAAAAATAAGCATTTTCTAGTTTCCAGACAGTAACTGTGGAAAGGTGTATCGATCTCTCTGAAATTATACTACAAGTTTCCATATCACAAAGGGATGGTTAGGATTTGCTTTGGGGGGTTATGGCTCAAACCGTTTAAGAATTAGGGGCAAAAAAGGGGGAAAAACAAGGTTGTCCTGGTTAATGGACAAATACTTTAGTACAAAACATAATTTAAAGCAGTGTAAGGGAGATAAATCAAATACATCATTGAAATTATCTCCCTTACACTGCTTTTAAATTATGTATAAAGTAATGGTTAATGAACAATTAAGATAATTTAAAACAGTGTAAGGGAGGTAATCCAAATACAACGTTTTGGTTACTTCCCTTACACTGCTTTTAAATTTTGTTTAAAGAAATGCATATTTATAAAGGAAGACCAGTAAAAATATCTGCAAATGTTGCATCTTTTTTTTTTACAACAAAATCCATATGAAAGATTTGACACTATATTTTAAATTCTATTATAAAATAGATTAAGTTAGCACTATGGTAAATTTAAATGGGTAATTATGGTTGCAAACTCCATTGGAAATTTGAATTGAGATTATGACCATATCTTGAGGGAAAGAATTTTTTGGGGAAAAAAAGGGGGGGGGGGGGGTTTAAAGAAATTGTGGGGGGTCAATTTTTTCTCATTTCAGATTTCAGAAATTAAAAAGAATTATTCTTCAAATATTATTTTTTTTTCAAATTTCAAATATTGAAAAATTTCAAGACGTAATCTTTAATTGGACAGTATGGCGCATTATATTTGTAAAATCTTTGACCACATTTATTTATTTGTTATGCCGAATCTAACCGTGTATTTAGATTTTTAATTTTGGGTCCAGTTTTCAAATTGGTCTACATTAAGGTCCAAAGGGTCCAAAATTAAACTTTGTTTGATTTTAACAAAAATTGAATATATGGGGTTCTTTGATATGCTGAATCTAAACATGTATTTAGATTTTTGATTTTTGGCCCAGTTTTCAAGTTGGTCCAAATTGGGGTCCAAAATTAAACTTTGTTTGATTTCAACAAAAATTGAATATATGGGGTTAATTGATATGCTGAATCTAACCATGTATTTAGATTTTTTATTTGTGGCCCAGTTTTCAAGTTGGTCCAAATTGGGGTCCAAAATTAAACTTTGTTTGTTTTCAACAAAAATTGAATATATGGGGTTCTTTGATATGCTGAATCTAACCATGTATTTAGATTTTTTATTTGTGGCCCAGTTTTCAAGTTGGTCCAAATTGGGGTCCAAAATTAAACTTTGTTTGATTTCAACAAAAATTGAATATATGGGGTTCTTTGATATGCTGAATCTAACCATGTATTTAGATTTTTGATTTTTGGGCCCTGTTATCAACTTTGTCCACATTGAGGTCAAAAGGGTCCAAAATTAAACTTAGTTTGATTTTAACAAAAATTGAATTCTTGGGGTTCTTTGATATGCTGAATCTAAACATGTATTTAGATTTTAGATTTTTGGCCCAGTTTTCAAGTTGGTCCAAATTGGGGTCCAAAATTAAACTTTGTTTGATTTCAACAAAAATTGAATATATGGGGTTCTTTGATATGCTGAATCTTACCATGTATTTAGATTTTTTATTTGTGGGCCCGCTATCAAATTGGTTCATATTGAGTTCAAAAGGGTCCAAAATTAAACTTTGTTTGATTTCATCAAAAATTGAATTATTGGGGTTCTTTGATATGCCAAATCTAACCGTGATTTTAGATTTTTAATTTTGGGTCCCATTTTTAAATTGGTCTACATTAAGGTCCAAAGGGTCCAAAATTAAACTTAGTTTGATTTTAACAAAAATTGAATTCTTGGGGTACTTTGATATGATGAATCTAAACATGTGTTTAGATTTTTGATTATGGGACCAGTTTTCAAGTTTGTCCAAGTTGGGGTCCAAAATTAAACTTAGTTTGATTTCAACAAAAATTGAATTCTTGGGGTACTTTGATATGCTGAATCTAAACATGTATTTTGATTTTGGACATTGGACCATAATAGGAAAATTAAAAAAATTGAAGTTCTTAGACCACATTCTTTCTGTGTCAGAAACCTATGCTGTGTCAAATATTTAATCACAATCCAAATTCAGAGCTGTATCAAGCTTGAATGTTGTGTCCATACTTGCCCATACTGTTCAGGGTTCGACCTCTGCGGTCGTATCAAGCTGCGCCCAGCGAAGCATTTTATTACATCTTGTCTCATATAGACAAAGAAAAGAAATTAATTGATTAATTGATTAACTGTATGTACTATCAGAAGTTTTGACATCACTGTACAGAGCTTTTGAAGCTCTTACATATAGTTGAAAATAAGGGTGTTAAAATATGAAGTCCTTTTGAAATTCTAATATAAAACCCTAGAGATATATCTATAGTATCCATTAACAATCTTATAGTTATTGTGCAATGGTATGAAATACAACAGTTTATTGTTAGAAAATACAAACCATAAAATATCACTCTCTATATAAAGAGAACCAAACAAGTTTAATAAAAGAGTATTTAATCAATACAGTGGGAGTGGCTCCATACAATGATTGCTATTTATAAAGCCTTTGTTGTCAGTAATTTTGTGTGTATTGACACAAAAGTATTGATGTTGCTACTGATATATGTATGCATTTTTATTGAATGTAAAAGCAGTTTTATTGTATTATGTATATATCAAGCAATTTCAATTGTCTTCCAAAGAAAAAATATGAAGTAGACTTTGCAGGCATCTAAAAAATTGACTTCTTTATTTGAGGTTACTGTTGAGGCTTATTTGAATGTACATTTTACGACTTTTCTCTGGAAGGCAATAGTTTTAAATATCCAATCACAAATGTAATTAAGGTCAAGACTGGGCATTAAATTAAGATAATTAAATTATGTTTACCTTCAACTCTTTTTCACTGATCAATGAATTTTTTCCTAATTAGGTCAGTTTCTCAGTCTATGATTGTAAGGTGTACATGTCCATCTGACAATGTTCATCTGTCCATGACACCATGAGCATCACTGATGAGTCTTTTGTAGACGAAATGTGCGACTGGCGTACAAAATTTCAATCCTGGTATCTTTGATGAGTTTTTTTTCATCATCAATGTTTAATAAAAAAAATCAAGATAGATCAGTTGCTGGGTTATACTGTAAATAATAGATCTATTGAATGACTAAACATTTAACAATTATTGTTTGACTGAGATTGAAATGAAAAACACAATTTTCTCTAGTTAATATCTCTCATAAAGCTTCCTATTAAGTCTGTTATTTTAGAGAATCTGTAACATTTCAACACTATAATTATGAAATTTTCTCAAAAATCGTTGCAAAAGTACAATGACCCCTGATCATTGGCAATCATACCATATCTCCTTATTTTTTTTGTATTGAACATACTCTGTTAAACAGTGGATAAGATGTCTCTCTGTTTGCCAAGTTCTAGTTTAAACTGGCAGGAAAACTCAAACATGCCAGACATGGAGCGATTTGTTAAAAGTTAGGTAAAAGATCAATAGTGTTAGAATTTTATATTAGAATATTTTGAACACACATATTTATTGTTTCAACTTTTCCTGTATATGTAGCTCTCTCCATGGTATAAAGCACCTAGTCTAAGTCTGATAAAAGATCACATTTTGAGGTTTCCTGTAGCTCTCTCCATGGTATAAAGCACCCACTCCCAGTCTGATAAAAGGTCATGTTTTAAGGTTCCCTGTAGCAAAATCATTAATTAGGTAAATTTTCTACCTAGTCTGAAATCAGAGTAATGTTTTTGTGTCAAAAACAATTTAAAACTAGAAATTGTCATTATTTTCTTCTTACTGAGTTTGTTGTTAATTAAAAAGATTCTTTGAAGTGGAGATAGAGGATCAGAATATAGATTTTGCCTTATCTTCAAAGGATTCTGCAACATTTTCTACATAAAAGTAAAATGTTGCTGAAAACATAAACTACATCAGAAGTATTGGTGCCATCATAAGTTATTTGATATAGATAATTGTTTGGTTTTCTAACAGCAACCTCATTGACTATACCAGTTCTTCTAGCATCTTTAGATTGTCTCTCTGATAAAATTTGGAAATTAACACACAGCTACCAATGAAAATATTGTACACTACCATAGACATTGTGTTACACCAGTGCCTGCATGTGCTTACCTTATTAGCATGCTTTTATTGAGTTTTCTTTCAACAACTTTAATGTTATTGCCTTCTGATTTCAGAACTATATGCCCTATGAAAACAATATGCCTGTGATGAGTGAAATGCCACAGTCCTCAGGAGAATATATGATGCCAACCCATGTAGAGCCTCAGTATCAGCCCCTTAGGATACCTCATGAGAATGTAGATCAGCAGCAACAGCCACAGCAGCAAAATATGACAAATTTCATTCCACAAACAAGTTATAATCAGGTAAATTGTTGTCAACTATTTCATTGCCTTTGACAACTGTTGGTCAGCTATTTCATTGCTTTTGACAACTGTTGGTCAACTATTTCATTTCCTTTGACAACTGTTGGTCAACTATTTCATTGCCTTTGACAACTGTTGGTCAACTATTTCATTGCCTTTGACAACTGTTGGTCAGCTGTAGATTGCATTTTTGTATAACCAACTATTTCATTGCCCGTCACAACACAATAAACTTAAGAAATATGTATACTAATTAGGGAGAAGCAGTGTTAACTATTTGTTTAAACTTTAATTTTGATTGGTAGAATAACTAGGCAATATGTGTCTTGTTTACAAATACCCTTTGGTCTGAAGTTTCTGTCTGGCATATGCCAACGGCATTTACCTCATATTTATAGTTCAGTGACTTAGCAAAACCATCATATGTTTTCATTATTAAGTGATCTTTTTAGTTGCTGTTAAATGTAGTTTAATTATATTTGGTCTATATAAATCATTGGAATTTGTAAATATCTGTCTCACAGGGAACTAGTGCCCTTGACCTTGTTTTCATTGTTCATTTGATTAGTGGTGATGAGGCTATCTTTTCTGTTAATAGAGTGAATTGGTGAACTATATTAAACTATAAAATCATTGCAATGGCTCCATGTCTATCTCACATGGGACAGGCAATGTGGATAACCTTGACCTCATTTTCAATTAAATTATTAATGATTATAATTTATGAATTTGCCAGTTTTTCAGTTACTCATCTTCGCTAGCCAAGGTTTACGATCCACTTCCCTCCTCTCCTCCCTTGGCAGATTAAGCCAACATTTGTGATAACAATGTTGCGCCATCTATCGGTAGATTAAAGTCACGCCCATTCCTAATACATTATTCTTGACCAATGGTAGCACTTGAACTCTTCAATTTGGAGGTAAAAACACGGTAGCGTCTAGATTCTACACACTTGGTAAAGCAGGAAACGAAAATATACGTTGACATTAATGCATTTGTGCAAGAAACATACACAGGAACTTCTATTAGTTGATTAAAAACATTCAAATTGTCACTAAATATAGTCGTATGTTTAGGAGTGTAAAGACTTGTTGCACAATAAGCACATGGCAATTGTTTACATACACTTTCTACATTTACACGTGATCATGATATAGGTGCTTTTTGATTGGATGCAGTGAATTTCAACTGCAACCAATGAAAATCATTACCTTGTGTCTTCGAAATTCTATCTTAATCCGCCAAGGGTGGAGAGGAGGGAAGTGGATCGTAACCCTTGGCTAGTGAAGATGTCAGTTACTATGAGTAACAGATTAGCTGTATTTGAATGTTGGAAGCATTGTAATGTGTACATGTCTGTCTGACAGGAGTCACCTAAACCTATTCCTCAGAAAATCAGTGATACTTCTTCCATATTTTAACACAATTGAAATACATTGAAGTCACTTTGAACTATGTTTGATATAAGATACTTTTTTTGTCCCCAGCGCGACTTTGACAGATAAAATATGTGCAATGTGGGGGACATTGGAACCTCTGTTCTTTTATTAAATTTTGTCTTTGGGAAAGCATTTGTTCTAAGTATTTATTATTATTTATTTACAGACAAATCCATACAATCAGGGAGAAAGTTTCGAGGAGCGATGGCAAGATATTGTTAGTATGCTAAATTTGTCCCAGAATAATTCAGGAAATATGTTCAGTGGTATGCCTCAAAGTATGCATGCTATGATGGGTCATAATGCTAGCATGTACAACCAAACAGATATATCATCACCTCTTATGCAGTTAATCCAGTCAGTACCAGCAGCAGGTAGAGACAACCAATCATCTGCCATGATACAAAATATTACCATGCCAACAGCTGGAGACAACCAGTCATCAGTGTTATTGCAGAATGCTTCAATGCCAGTTCCACCTATGAATAATTCCATGAATCCATCTTACAATGCATTTGACAACTCAGGTATGGTGGAATTATACAAATTAAAACTAAAGAATTGTGCAGCTTGAGAATTTTAATGGAGAACTAGCAAAGGAACCCTAGGAGATCATATGAAATTGAAACTAAAGTTTATCAAATGAAAGAATTAAAGATGAAGCCTGCAGAATAAAATATGATCAGAGATTAATATTTTGGCAGTGTATTACTTGTCATTATATTTATTTATGGCTATGTTTTACTTCTTAATTAGAAAACAAAATATATTGGATTATGACTAAAATTACAAATTATTAAAAAATTATTATACTCTTGTAAAATATACACATATATTGTATGAATCACTATAAACCTATAACATTTACATAATTTTATTTTTATCATATTAGGTACTTGCCAGCAAAATGGTAATTTCACACCCTCAAATCCAGATTGTGGCTTAACAAACCAGCGTGATTTTGAGACTGGCGATCTTCTTTTCCTCAATGATAGTAGTCCCATGAATCAAACAGAATCCTTAAAAGAAGTAGAAGAACTACTGCCTGATATCATTAACAATGAAAATTTAACTGATTACAACATAAGTGAGATGGCGCTAAATGATGGCTTACGTTCCATGCATATGCTTGATGAAGAGAGTAGTGAGTCGGGAGTATCTATGGGTAGTTCTGGATCACCAGTACATGTAAATATTTAATAAATTTTTTTAACTCAAATTATATAGATTAGGGTGGTTTATTAGATTATATGAACTTATTATAGTAAAAGTAGAAAGGAATTGATTTAAATAATGATGATGTATTAAAATATTACCAGTAATTCTTACATTGGACACACTCACATTATTAAGATTCACTTTATTCATTTCAAAAGCATGGGCACATAATGGAATAAATAAATTGTATCCATTATCTGATAAATTATGGTCAATTATGAAGTTTAATTAACGGATTAATGACCCATCCGATGTCGATAAGGGGATTATCTGTAATCACAACTTATTACACCTGCTGAAATGTTAATTAGCTGAGGGTCATAAACTTGTCATAAATATGAAGACAGGTAGAATAATTGTATTTTCATCAAAATATTACGGCATTAAAGGCATGTACTTACGAAAAAGGGCAGGGCGTCTTATAAAGGGCACAGGGCGGCATTCGGGAAAGGGCGGGCGGACGTCCCTGTGAAAAAGACCTAGCTGGAACACTGTATCAATATTTGTGCTGGTAAAGGAGGTAATGACTTGTAAGGAATTTAGGGAGTAGATTGAATCACATTTTTGTTCCTTTGTTGTAGTTTAAGCCTGGCTTTCTTTTCCTGATTAACTACCAGACTTTTACAGTAATTTAAGGAGCTGGTCTAAAAGTGGATCAAGAACCGACTAACCTTTTAGAGGACTAGTTTTAGTAAGGTTGATGGTGTTTAGAACCTTATGAAATTAATATGATTTAAAATAACAAATATTTTATAATTATCTTAAATGGAGATGTATTCTATTGCTATATTACATTATGAATTACATATGTTTATTTTTTCAGGACAACTTCAGTGACTCAGTTATGTCCCCTTTTGATGGTGCAGGTGGAGCCACTGGGGGTCAAGATTATGATGAATCACAAAGTTACAAAGGTCCCAACAACTTTAATTTTAATAACAATAATAATAATAACAACAACAAAAATTATAATGGGTACAGCAACAGTGATAGCCAATCAAATTGTTCATCTGTATCTAATGATACTGATTACCAAATCGACATGACAAGGTCCAAACATGTTCACCATAACCATTCTTATCCACTACAGCCAGGACAGGAACCGAAAGAGTACAAGAAATATACATTCAACAACGATAAACCTAGGCAGAAAGGGCCACACTGTCGTGACAAAAAACGCATTGAAGAAATGAACATTCCACTGACTCTTGATCAAGTTATCGAATCACCAGTGGAAGAATTCAACGAAATTTTGCAGATGCATAAATTTTCTGATCAGCAGCTTCAATTAATTAGAGATATTAGACGCAGAGGCAAAAATAAAGTTGCTGCCCAAAACTGCAGGAAACGCAAGATGGATGTGATAGTAGATCTTGAGGACAATATGTCTTCCCTACGTGAGAGAAGAGATAGACTTTTAGAGGAGCGACACATGATTGACAAACAAGCAAGGGAAATGAAAGACAAATTTGGAGTCCTGTACAGAGAAATTTTCCAGTCCTTGCGTGATGAAAATGGAAGACCATATGATCCCCAGTTTTATTCCTTACAGCAATCCAGTGATGGCAATGTTTTCCTTGTACCACGAAATATGACAGCGGATGAACAACAAGCAAAACTTAACAAAAAAGTTAAGAAAGAAAAGGAAAAGTAGTTAAAACAATATTAGATTTAAGACTATGGAGGGATGCTACCTCTAAAAAAATGTGATAAAAGCAAGCCTTAAATGAAAAAAAATCAGGGTTTTTGATGGCGTTAAAAAAAAGGGGGGGGAAATTTTTGGCATTTGGTTTTTAGTGCTTTTTGCATTTGAAGTAATAGGATTTGCATTTATGGGTTGCACATATTCATTTTTCATTGCAAATTTGTTCACAAAATGTTTAACTGGCACTATATTTATTAGAATAAAATCAAAACTTCACATTGTTTTATTATATATAAATATTAAGAATAGATTTTATTTTCAATATAAAATTATTTACATAATTGTTGATCTCAAAGTCCAGCACTGTCAGTGTTTAGCATAATATAGAAATAAAGGTGCAAAGTATGAATTCAGTTACCCATCAAGACAAAAAATGAACATCATATTTAAATAAAACTTAACATCATACTAAATTTATTAGAAGAAACTTGTTGCACCCAATATTCTTTCATTAATACATAAAAAAATATCAAAATATTTAAAATGAAGAAAGTTAACTGGCAATTATGTTGTCAAGCATATCTTTTGTGCATGTGAATTTATTACATTCCATTCTTGTGAAAGAGCCAGGTAGTTAGTACTGTTTGTTAGGAAGGAGTTTTTGGAAATTAAACAATTATTGTATAGGGGTCATACATTGTAAAATGAACCCTAAAATATGCTAATTGTTTTCATTTGAAATGCTTACATTTTTACAGAAAAAGCATTGTATCAGGTGCCTTGTTATGAGGAATGTTGAAATGAATTATTTTATGGTTATACATTTTTAACTCAAATCCTTTCCAATGTAAAAGGGGGAGGGTTCAGGAGACATATTTGTTTAAGCCACAAACAATTTGTTTCATTTTAAATGACTCTTACAGCTGTTGTCAAAGAAGACATTTACCCATCAAATTGAATTTAAAGTTCCTCTGATCACCCATCACACTGTCAATTATGGAACAGTTCTGAGTTGACAGGTACATAACAACTGTCTCTTCATACATCTTACACTTTTATGTCTACTCAAGATGCAAAGCTTTAAGCAAAATAAATGGTAGCAGTTTGATTGTTTAGAAATAAGAATATGATTAATTCCACTAGTATAATTTGTGAAAGATCAAATTCTAGTGTAATATATTTGTAGAAAATAATAACTTTTTTGTTGAATTATAAGTGTCTATGTGGTGCTTAGTGTATCATTTATAGTAGAAAACTGACAGTATAAAGTGCTAAATAAGGTCATTATAAAAATATTGCTCTATTCCTTTATCATCTTGCTACACTTTTCTAATTCATTTTATTTTTATTTTGAAAGAAAAATTATGTTTTCAGAAACGTGTCGAAACAAAATATGTCTATACAACATGTACAAGATATAGGAAAAAAATTAATTTATTTTGCCTGCCTTTTCCAATTTAAGAAAAAATAGTTTTGTAATATTTTTATTATGGCCTTAAGTGTTATTTTTTTGTATTTATTTATTTATCCCATTTAACTTACAACATGATCAAAGATATATATAGTGTAAGATTTTTACTTGAATATTAAAATGTTTTTACAGTTTATTATTTAAACTGATGCTAAAAGCTGGTTTCCTGTAGGGGAATGCATTTCTTTGGTCTAGCTAAGGGTTTGTGTGCAAAGTTTGTAAAACTGGAACTGGTTCTTGTTTGTTAAATGTTTTATGTTGTTAAATTATTGTTATACAATTGTTATTATTATCTAAAACTTAAGTTTTACACAAATTATTGATTTAAAATATTTGATGTTTTATTTTGTCGTAAGAAAACAGAAAATTTGAAGTGGATATTTAATTTATAATATAATATTATTGGTAAAATCTGCCAAAAAAAAAATAAAAACTAGATTGTACCAATGATAAATTTTTGAAATAACTGATTTTCATTTAAACAATGATGGTATTATTTTAGTCTATAGGGCATTTGGACTTGAACTGTTGTCATTGAGTTGCCTGCTTACCATCAGGTGGACATTTCTTTATGAAGCATAATCTGATCTGTTGAAAAACCTTATAATTATAAAGCTTTCTCAATATAACTGTTTTACACAGCATCACATGTTAGTGATGTTGGGAAAAGGGATGTACATTACATAAACATGGGTTTCTATTTAAGTTGCATGCAAAAGGATTCCACATGGTTGTTAATGCATATTTCAAAGGTCGTCTTAAAAAGATTATTTCAAATTTCCAAAATATCCAAAATTTGAAATCACCACTGATTCAATAACAATAATTCAATTTATTATTTTTTTTTAAGGAAGGACAGTTCCTATTATGATAATTTATGATAATTTTAACTGAATAATGTAGTAATACCATTGACAAGTGAAATCACAGGATTGGGTTATTTTTGTCAAACGTAATGTTGCAGTACTACTTATAATTGTTTACATGTCTGGATAGAGAACAATAATTTTGGGCTTTCAGTAGATGGATTTATAGATAAAGTTAAGCAGGTGTGTATAATAAACATTCTATAGAGGTGTTATTGTTTCACTTATAACCATTGTTATGTTTTTATATCACATATTATGTCATAATAGTCTATAGCAAATAAATGCATATTGTGTGCAGTGTGAATGATGGATAATTATATGGTGATGCAAAAAATCTAAGTTTGAATATAAGTAATTAAATTGATTTCAGCAGTCTGTCAAAATTAAAGATATTGATTATTGCTTTGCTTCATAGATACTTCACTGGAAGGTACTAGTCTAAAAATAAACTTTGTAGGTCTGTTATCTTTTTTTTAATCTTGTTACCAGATATGTCACAGATGTGGGGATTTCTATGACTGTGTATTTAAAACAAGAATATTTACTACTTCAAATTATAATATATATCATTCAGATTTAAGTACATATCTGTCATAAAAAATAAAAGAGTATGTGTGTGAATGTGAATAACATTATATAGAACAGAATTACCAATGTAAGTGAACCTATATATAATTTGGTGACATTCCATGAACAGAGATTTATCAAAGTTGGTAAAAGGGATATGCTGTATATATTTGTTTGTTAAATATATTATTACAGCATGTTATTGGTATTAAAAAATATTTTACTAACAAAGCCTTTTACAATGTATACCCGTGAGTCATTTATTGTCATGTAGTCCTTCATCGTCAAATAAGACATCATCATGTACATTACATCACTTATTATTTCACTTTACACCAGAACATTTACATTCTATTGATTTAAAGGTCTGTTTGAGCCAATTATGAATATTCCACTATGTTTTAAATTTCCTACCTGAATACCATATACGTAATTTATATTTAAATTATTTCAAACAAAATATTTATGAACATTAAGTTTTTAATACATACAAATTGCATATTATGATCATTTACCTATTAAAAAACTATTTGAGGCTCTTCCTTCAAAAGCATCTTTTGAAAGCATTTGCTGTTTACTCATTTCAGTACAATTACTGATTCATGAAGAACTTATAGTCATGCATGACATATCAAAGCAAAACGTTTTTGTTAACACTTTTGATTTCATATTTTCAACAATTGAAATCTTATCATCGACTGAAAACGCTACTGGCATCTTGCTTTTGCCATAATAAATTGATAGCATAGATAAGACAGAAAAATTTAGAATTGACTTGTGAAATTGGGGAAATTATTATCATGTCGAGTGAAAATATTGTGTTAAAGACTTGGGTGAAGTTATGTCAATTTAACACACTGATAGCCTTTTGTAGAGGAGAAACAAGTTTTTATGAACCTTAGAAGTTGAAAGTTACCAGGGCTGATGGCCTCAGTCAATATTAATTTCTAAGGTCCATGAAAACTCATATTGGATATAAAAACTGATATTGTGGTTAAACAGTCCGTAGACCATCTTTATTTAAATAAAAAACATATTTTACAGAATTTCATCTGCAAGCATTTAAATCAGCAGGATTAAGTATTCCAAAATATAATATAATAATAATAATAATAATAACATTAATGTAAATTTAACCAGCCCAATGATAAATACGTGTTTCTTTAGTTTTTGCACTTTATTTTCATTTGACATAGTTATACTATATGGGAAGTTATAAATAATAATTAGTATGGGAAGAACTGTCAGTGATGATATGATTTAGGTAGTTGTTGTAGCTCCATCATTGTACATAATGGATTGTCTCATTATGGTTGTGTATCAGATATTGTCTGAACAATAAACTTATTTTATATTGATTTTGAATTTATTATTTTGCCAATTATTTTGTTGGACATGAATAATTTGGCAATAACAGGCACTGGAGGTTGTTGTTTAAGATGGATGGATGAATGAAGAAATTGGTGTTTAACATCCAGTAGAATATCTTTCATTATGAAAATAAGATGAGGTATGATTGCCAATGAGTCAACTCTCTACCAGAGACCAAAGGATGTAAATGTTAGCAACTATATGTCACCATATGACATAACAAGCTATAAAAGACCCAGGAATGACGTGAAGCAATTCAAACGAGAAAACAAACGGCCAGATTTATGTTCAAAACAATAATAGAAAAACAAATGTAATATACAGTAACAAACAACAACCACTGAATTACAGGCTCCTGACTAGGAACAGGAACAACCCTCCCTCTAACCTGGGACAGGTGTGTAACAGCACAACATAATATTAGCTGAAAGGGGTTTAACTCATCAGATAAATACAGAGCACAAAAACCAATAAGACACAAAGTACAGATCTGAGAGTACTAGCAGTTACTGAAAGCTAGTTCAAAGCCAATAACAAATAATTAAAAAAATAGTGTTTTTAAGACTAAAATATCAATCAGTACACATCCAACATCAAATGGATCTAGTGTAAAGACGCTATTAACAGTCAAAGAAAAACATAACCTTGTGCAATGCCAAAATGTTGAACATAGGCCTGTGAAAGTGCATTGACATATAGCAATAATATATAGATGGTTTTTATATAACCCAAAAAATCCGCGTTCGTATAATGTTATCACATTGTCGTCGTCTGAAGACATTTGGTTTCCGGACAATAACTTTAGTTTTAGTGTATGGATCTCTATGAAATTTATCCAAAGGGTTCAATACCACAAGTATTTTTTTCCCTCATAATTTTAGAAATTATCAATTTTCAACAAATAATTGGGGGTCACATTGTATTGCACAACAGCAAGAAATCTTCAATTGAATATAAATTCAAATCATATAACCAATTTCAAGTTCTTTGACTACATTTATTCTGTGTCAGAAACCTATAATGTGTCAAATATTTAATTACAATCTAAATTCAGACTTGTATCAAGGAATTTAAATATACAATTCCTTGCTTGTATCAAGCTTGAATATTGTGTCCATTTTTGACCCAACTGTTCAGGGTTGGACCTCTGCGCTCGGCGAAGCAGTTTATTAATTTATTGACAACAAAATCAATTTTTATAGCGATAAAAAAATATTCAAAGATCTAATAGTCATCATACTCATGACAATAGCAATAACCTTTGTACGCGGCCGTGTTCAGTTTTTTTACAAGACATTTTGACCTTTATTGACTAAACAATACTGTCTCATTTCTAAATGTAAAACGCAAAACTGCAAAACCTGTAAAATTATAATAACATATACTAGCAATTTAAAACAAATCTTACTTACAAGAAGCTACGATGATCTGAATTGTATATCAACAATTCTCGTCTACGGATGTAACCTTTGCTGATTGGTATATGTGGGTGGAAACGAAAGGAAGGGTGTGGCCATATATCAGACATCAACAACAATGCAAGCGATATTGTTTACCAGCATTTTACTCACTCTGATCATTCAATCCTTTCTGTGCAAGTCTGCATCATCGAAAAAATATACCACAGGACTAACAATCCTGATCTTGCTACTGGACTACTGGATTCGAGAATTAGGAACTGCGACACCATATGATTTCAATGACAAAATTGATGGTATAGATATCCTGTCTAGTCCTTCCTGCATGTAGCTCGGTGAATGTGATGAACATTTTCAACTCTACTCCTGACGCAGTCATAGTCATCGTTATTATACATCACCTACTCTCCATGATGTCTCTTGGTGACCTGCTGCCATTTACACAAAAGCCGTTGGATATTTGTCACATTCGCACGAAGCTTTATTCACTCCCCTTTTCAAAACTCCATTCTCTGTACAACTTCTTTTTGGAAACCACTGTTACAAACCCCCATTCAAACCTATATTTGCCAACAAAGGTCTCGATGCCATCAACTTGGCCAATATCCTTCATTATAAATCAGTTCACTCGAAAATACCTTCCTATTTTAAAGATCAGTCTACCTATCATTTCTTATACCTATACCAAACCAATTGCAACTAAAATTTTAATTACAAACACGTGTTGCATGATCTCAATATTGACGACTTCAAGTCTAAACCTCCTGATTGCACCTGTGCTTGTTCCCCATTCATATATGATCGAACTGGCCACTTATTATCAATAACACTTCTCTGTGAAATGTGTTATCCAAAGGCCCGAAATATCGTGAGCCTAATTCTATCAATTGGAAACACAACTTCAAAATACTGATGGATTCAGTCGATGATTATGCCAGGCAATGGGATAAACGCGAGAAAGAAGAAGTAGTTACTCTTTTTGAATGGATTAAGGCTGTGAGGTCGTTGATACAAATACAAATTAAATAAACTGAATGGGTCTATGAATACACATGTTACATCAGTCTTTAGGCTCAAATTTTGCAAAACACCTGTCCTACCATAACAAATTTTGTATTGTCCCCGCAGATAAAGCCAAAAACAACATCATTTTTGTGTGTAAATCACACTATATAATGCATTAAATGAATTAGGATGAAAATTCACTTGGAAACTCAACATATCATTGCCCCCACGACACTTACCAAGGAGGAAATATTGGATAATCATAGGTCTGTTCTATGTTTCTTTGGAATTTGAACCAAAGACGAAGAACTGGATCTTCCTTCGCTGTATTGAATACCTAAATACAAAAGTGTCCCTACAAACAACGTTATATTGCTGGGTCTTCCAAGTGCTCCACGAAATCTCTTTCTAAATTATTATTTTAACATCAATTTTATCAGCAATCAAATCAAGGCTTTAAAGTTATTGTGAAACTAACTATTCTAGAGGTGGCGTGAATCAGATGTGGATACTAAAAAATTAAAAAGATCTTTTAGAGTGCATACAATCTAAGACTCTTTCATCTTGCAATAGTATTGAAACATTTGTCTTTTCTACACTTTACACGAGTATTCCCCATTCCAAACTAAAAGACAAATTGGAAGAGTTGGTCCAGACTCCTGCTTTGTTTCATAAAAAAGAATGGTCAGCGTAGATACAAGTATCTTGTCTTAGGGAGGGATACATCCTACTTTGTAAAAAAATCACTCTGATTCAAACAACAAATTCCCTGAAACTGACATTATGAAGATGCTTGATATCTTTATTGACAACATATTTGTTACGTTTGAAGGACTTGTTTTTCAACAAACAGTTGGCATTCCCATGGGAACCAACTGCGTTCCTCTTCTTGCCGACTTGTTCCGTTATTCATATGAGGCTGACTTCATACAAGAGCTTCTTAGGAAAAAAGAAAAGAAGCATTATCCTTCAACTTTACATTCCGCTATATAGATGATGTCCTCTCACTAAATAATTCAAAGTTTGGTAACTATATTGAACGCATCTATCCCATCGAACTTGAGATATTGATTGATTGGTGGTTAACGTCACTTTAAGCATTATATTGCATTGTGTTATTTCTTGGATATCAGTTTTTATCGGTGGAGGAAGCCGGAGTGCCCGGAGAGAACCACCGATCTTCGGTAGGAAAACCGACAATCCTAGTCAATTAAGAGTCGAGTGCACCTGCCACGTGCGGCATTCGAACTCACAACCTCAGTGTTGACAGGCTAGTGATACAGTAGTTTGACTATTTTAACCACTCGGCCACCGAGGCCCCGAACTTGAGACAAAAAATACAACAGATGCAGTTAAGTATGCATCATATCTTAATTGACTTACATCTAGAAATTGACAATGAGGGTCGTTGGTCGAAAACAAAACTTTACGACAAAAGAGATGATTTCAGCTTCCCAATTGTGAACTTTCCATTTCTATGTAGCAGCATGTCAGCAGCGCCTGCATAAGAGATGATTTCAGCTTCCCAATTGTGAACTTTCCATTTCTATGTAGCAACATGTCAGCAGCGCCTGCATATGGAGTATATATCTCCCAGTTTATACGATATTCCAGAGCTTGCATTTCCTATCATGATTTCCTTGATAGAGGGTAGCTGCTCACAAGGAAGCTATTAAACCAAGAGTTCCCAGTGATGAAAAATATGAAACAATTAAATTGAGAAAACTAACGGCCTAATTTATAACAAAACAATTAACGAAAAGCAAATATGACAGACATGAACCAACGACAACCAATGAACTACAGGCTCCTGACTTGGGACAGGCATATATAGAATGTGGCGGGTTAAACTAGTTTGCTGGCGCCAAACCCTCCCCTTAACCTTGGACAGTGGTGTAACAGAACAACACAAGAACAAACAAAAGAGCTTAACTCATCAGATCGATACAACGCAGAACACATCTAACAAAAACACAGACCGGACGTGGCAGCGTATCTATACATCCCACAACAGAAAAAGACACTAAGTAAAGATCTGAGAGTACTCGTAGTTACTGACAGATAGTTCAAAGCCAATAACAACTAATAAAAAATCATGTATCTAAGACTAAAATATCAATCAGTACATATCCAATGGATTTAGTGTAAAGACGTCATTAACAGTCAGTGGAATGCCATAATATAGGTATCGACAGATTGTGGTACCGGGAATGTGCAACTGTGTATAACAATAATATTTAGTATGGTTTTAATCTAATGATAACAAAATCAAAATTTATACCAATGAAAACAATATTCAAAGATCTAGTTAGAGTGTTGAATTAGTAACCTTTTAAAATAAGTTTATAGGATTGATAAGTTTACCCGGATCGTATCTAAATTTCCGGGCTAGGTAAACAACAACCCCCCCCCATCTGACAACCAATCGGACAGTATTTTTAAGTTTACAAAAAAGACTTAAAAGTTCATTTAAGGGGCATTAGCTACGAAGTTGACAAAAAAATCAAAATATGATTTTTTTTCGTTTTCAAACATTTATAAAAGCGGAATTATGAAATAATAAG